GGAGCTGCTTTTGACTGCTAGGTAGAACTTTTATTTATAAATCATGCACGTATGGATAAAATGCCTGCTGGAGAATTTCGGGCTAGATCGTGTGATTTGATCACTCACTTAAAACTGATTTTAGCATTGACTCTTCTGCCTATAAAAGTAGAAATACATTTTATAAATCTGTGTTGTGTTTAATTTACATGTCCTTTCATGGCTGGGCCAAGTTCTTTAAGGGCATTTATTCTGCTTCATATAAATAATTGATCAGCCAAGTTAATTTACTTCTGCCTGACTTGGTCAACCTTAATTAACTGCCCTAAAATAAAGACTGAACTTTTTGTTAGCTTAAAATCTTTCACAAATGTGGCAAAGGAGGGTTGTATTATGACAATATTTTTGCTGTAGCACTGATCCCAGGGGATAGAAATGCCTAATGATCTTTATGTGCATATGTATTTGTAAACACCCAAGTACTAACATCTGAAATATAATCATGGACCTTGAAGAAACTTTGAAACACACAGGCTGTGCTGTGAATCTGTAGTCCATGTTAAGTCTGGAAGGTTATTTAAACAGGGATTTTTAAGGCCAGAAGACCCCAGGGATGTTTTTTTAAAGGTGATGATATGCTTAAAGATATAGATTGGTACTTATTGAAGAATCTTAAAAATGCCTCACCAGATGCCTCCTTGTATGGTGAAGCATCTAGAGACATCTGAATATCAGTCCCTTAGTCTTTCAGACTTGGAGTGGGTCCTTATTCTGACAGGTGCTTCAGTCAGTAAATCCTCCCTCATGCTGACATTAAACAATGCTGCTTAGTCTTCAGAAACTATACTGGTAGCAGAATTGCAGCAGTGGCACACTTCAGCGCCCACCTCCTGCCTACTAATCTCCATGCTTAACCTTGCTCATCTTAATAGGCCAGTGGAGCTGAGATGTGTATCAGCAGCATCTGGTCTTGGCACTGTTATGGACTTTATGGACGCATTTTTAATGCATTAGCAAGAACTTTTTCAGAATTAGGATTCCTTTAGGTTCTTTTTTTTTTTTTTTTTTACCTCAAAAACACCGACACTGGAGTCATCAGAAAGATTATTTTAATTCAGGCAAAGTTCACATCTGAGCTATGTTTTCTCAAATCTGACCATGTCCTTAAGGAATTGGCTGTCTCCTGCTTTTCTCCAGGTAATCTGGAAGATGATTAGTTGTTGTCCTCCTGTTGACAGAGTGCCTTCTTTAGATTTCGCTTCACTGAAATTTTGCTCCATTACCTTGAACATAACATGTTCACCAAAGAGATGGGCCCAGCTGTAGGGCTTTGACTTTGTGTTTGACTGTGCATCAAAGCTAGAAAAAGTTCTGTGCAGGTTAAAATGGGAATCTGAAGAAACTGATCACTCTTCTGAAATTTTTAAACCAAGCCTACATTAAGTCAGAGCAGTTCTTTTATTATGTGTTCCTTGACTTCAGGATAAAGTTTCACAAGCTGTTGTTGATACTGCAGCCTACCTTTGGTCCCTTCATAGGGGAAAAACATCTTGTGTCACCTTTAATAATTCAGAGTCATTCTGTATCCCTCATAACATGAAATACCATAGAATTTTTCTATATATAGAAAAAAATAAAAATACTTACACTGGTAATAACCCACATATTTTGAGCGCTAAAAATGCATTTTTCTTTGCAGAATTGATAAGAGAATCATTCTGCTTTCTAGAACATATGAGATAGACATGGACCCTTCTACCATTAAATTTCTTAAGTCAGAACCAGGTTTCCTGCCTGTCATGGAAGTAGTTGCGGAGTATCATTATTTCTTATAGTAAATCATTATGCATAACAGCTTCTCCAGCACTGTGTTGGTTGTATTCAGACCAGAATCACGGTTTGTGATGCTTCACCTGGAGTTTCAGTTCAGTTCCCACAGAACCTAATTATGTTGCATAAAGTCAACCTTGCTTTGCATTTTTCTTTCACAATTTTGAATGACAAACTTCAGTAATAGGCTCCTGTAAGTTCATCTCCTCTGTGCTGGGAAGAGACAATTATCTCAGCCATCCTCAGTGTACGATCACCTCAGTTCATTTAGGTGTGCTCAAAAAGACAAATAATAATCATTCTTGCAGAAACCTCTCACAGGTTGATTTTTCATGACATGACACTTAATGATCAAACCAAACTGTGATTATTCATGTCAACTCACATTTGACTTCAGTGATGAAATAAACAGTTTTATCTTTTTTTCCCCTTGAAATACCAGTTTTATATCGGAGGTATTTTAACAAAGTGCTTTTGTTTTGTACAGGCATCTAGTTTAAAGTATATAGAAGTTGACTGCTTGTAAATTGGTGGGTTTTTTTAAAAAATGCTTAAAGATGTTCACTTCTGCTTTTAAAGTAATTTTTTGAAGGTTCAAACATGGTCCCTTAGCAAACTCTCTTTCCATCTTCGTTTCTTTGGTAGCTGCTGCCAGTTCTGCTGGGATCTGTAGGGTGGTCACAACCAGTGAAGGGGCCATGGCCCCTGTGCAGCTGAGCTGGTAGCTGGCTGGGGTTCTTCAAAAGGTAAAAGAGAGCATGAAATTTGTCATGGAAAAGGTTCTCAAGAACTATGATCTTTTTCTAACCAAATACAATAAATAATCCATCTTTTTCTTAGTCCTATAGGTTAGAAAAATTGTTGCAATTTTTACTGTTTTTTCTTTCCAGGACCATTTTGCAGTCCTAGAGACAATAAATAACTTCTTGACCAGTTTGGTTGTGAATTATTTTCTGCGTCCCGGAGATATTTCGCTCAGAAGGGCAAGCCAACAAATCGTGATCAGGCAGTGATGGATCTGCTCCTCAGTGGTGCACATTCTTCTTGCTGCTGTCAGAGCTTTGCTTGGTGCTTCCTCTGACCCTACTGCTTATTTATCCAGGTTCTCACTTCCCATTTGTTGCATCAGAAGTGCTGGAAAATGAGATGTATTTCTTTACTGTTCTGGCATATGGGTTTTAGCATCTCTTTCCACCACAGTGGCTGCTGGAGGCACCTTCCACTAAATCTTGAGTTTGTCCTTCCTCCATCAGCTTCAGTCTGTGTGGTGGGGACACGCCACCCACCATCACTGTCATGCTCCAAAACAGTCACTGGCATGAGTTTAACCCTCTAACCCAATTTTTCCTGGTGGTCATTGTTGTCTTCATCTGCTGCTGGGGTAAATTGATGTAGTGCTCCATTTTCTCCAGCTGAGAGCTGACTCCAAATTTGGGTGGAAGCAGAAAAAAAATTGCATCAGTTCTTTCTTTTTGGTTTGTCATAGGGTAAAAGAGGTAAATCCTTTTTTTAGCAGTATAGCATATAAAAAATTGCCTGCTATATCTTTGGGTGACTTGAGAGCTGTCTGTGGATTCTCACTCCTATGTCTTCTTCCAAAGCAACCTGTGCATGTCACTGCCTGGTGTGTAATCCAGCCTTGCCTGTTAGATGTAAACACATATTTAGACCTTATCATGCTTATGGGCTTTTCTTACAGTGCTGAAAATTAAAAACACACCATACTTGGTGTGTATCGGAGCAGGATCATGTTAAAAGCCAAGAGCATTTCCTAGTGGTGTTGGGAAAGCTGTAGGTTTGTTTAGATCTCTGGAGCTTTTACAGAGGAGTTGACAGAAGCTTTATAATGAGTCTCCAAGCCCTTTTGTCCCTTGGCATAATTTGAAGATTTAACAAAAAAGATTGAAAGAAGTTTCCATAGACCAGCTGAAATTTATTTAAATGTAATCTGAATGTTTGAATCTGTCCTGCTACCATCCATGTGCTTGGTTTACTGAATTCAAACGGGTTCTTCCTTGAAGATAAAACATCTCCCTTCTGAGGTGAAGTACCCTGCACAGGGGCATTTGGCTCCCACGTGCATGTGGTTAGTGTGGAGTTGGCAGTGTGCTTGGGACACACAGCTTGGCTTTCCATACCCCATCTTCCCTGCGTGAGGGGGAGAGGAGGGATGGGCTGGTGGAAGCCAGACAGGTTAATGGTATTTAAACCCTGGAAGCTGGGGCTTTGCAGGTGGAAATACTTTTAAAACAAGTCATCATAATATCTCTGAGTTAGTGCTTCGCAGCTGGAAACTGGCATACTTGCTTTGTGTGGGGAGTCTTGTGCACCAATGGTGATATTTGCTCCTGAGGGTGTGTAAATCCCAGGGGTGCTGGGGTGAGGAGGTGGGTACTCATCCTCATCCTCACTGAAGGCTTGTGACCCACTGATGCTCTTGGTGAGCTCAGAGTGTGAAGCACCCAGGGACAGGCTGACACCAAGAGTCAGTAGAGAGGGCTGGCTGGAGGGAGTGTGGCTGCTGAGATGATGTTTAGCCAAATAACACAGGAGACTCCTCGCTGTAATGCCATAAGAGCATCCAAATCTGTAGCTTAAAACTTGGCCAACAAGACTAATTCTGTGAGCATTTGTAGCAGTTCTCCTGAAATGAGAAGTGATGATGGTTCAGCACATCCCAGATTAAGCCTAAATTACTTCAGAGTAATAAAAGGTGCTAATTTGGCACTATCATGGTATGAGTGAAAACCAAAATAGTGAATTCTCCGCTTCACCTCCATGCCCCTACACAGCATATATCACATTTTTGATATTGTCCATCATATGTTGCCAAGAATGACTCATCCGTTTCAAAGTAAAGCATCCAGATGTAACTAGAGAAATTTAATTATGGATTCTGTGTGTTCGTTCAAAAATATTTTTTTTTCTCTAAGGGAAAAAAGATGTTGAGCAAATAATACTATATTTAGAAGAGAACTAACTTACTAAAATTATAGCTGTACCAACGGATAAATAAACATAAACTAGTAGCATGAACCATTAATGAAAGATAAATCGTATGAAGGAAAATGACATATGTTTACAGTTTTGGCAGGATTTAAAACAGGGCATGTCTCCTTATATACAGCAACTGTTTTAACAGCTGCTTTTTTTTTTTTTTTTCCCCCCTCCCCTCCCCTAAATTATTTCAGGTTTTTGAGTCATGATGCAAGAATCTGGGACTGAGACAAAAAGTAACGGTTCAGCCATTCAGAATGGAGCGAGCGGTGGCAACCATTTACTAGAGTGCAGCCTGCGGGAAGTGAGATCAAACGGCGAGACACCTTCCGTTGAAATTGGGGCTGCAGATTTAGCACATCTCCAGCAACAGCAGGTACTGTAAGATGCATTACAAGTTTCCTACCTACAGGAAAAGCATGAAGCATTTAACCCCCCCCACTCCCAAGCCCTTTGTACTTGCCAGGCAGAGGATGCTTTTAGGACTCGCCTGTGACATTCTGAGCGTTTCTGCCCGTAGGGGATTGCAGTCAGTCGTTAGTGTAAAGGGAAACCTTGGACTTCTCTTCCGGGGCTCCTTTTTTGTAATCATTCCCTGGAAACACCCAAAGATCAGGGCTTGCTTCCGTTGCCGGATTGTGTTGAGTCTGGTGGCAGAGATTGGGTGAACTGCTGTATACAAATAACTGGTTTCCAAAATATGTCACTGGGTGGAAAATACGCTAACGTTAAGTTTTGTTTTTGCAACAAATTTTAATATAACCTAGCAACCTCTATCAACAGAATGTTTTCTATTAGTGAGGAAGGCTAAAGAGGTATCTGCTGTGCAAAATGTCAGAATAAATAAATAAATACATCCATGTCCGTGTTCCTCAACTCAGAAGAATCAGAACCAAATTGTGTGTTTTGCCTTGGTATTTTAATTAGTGTATATTCTGGGAAGTGACCAAATTCGCCAGTGTAAATTATCTGTATAATACGGTTTGGCTTTTTCTTTTCCCTGATAAAATTCTGAGGCCCTCTGAGGAAATTTTACACCAAAGTGCTGGGCATGTATCATTAATGTGTTTGGGAACAAAGGCTGCAGCAGAGCCATGGTGAATACACTCACGCCTAACCCTCACTTTCTCTAATGCAATAAGGATTCTTAAAACCTTTTAAATAAGCGATTGGCATCTGTTTAAGACTCCCCTAAGTGTACAGTGATCTTTTTAGCAGGTTGTTGTGGAGAAGAAAAAAACCTGTGCTCAAAAACAAAGCAAAGTGAAGGCTTGAGGAGGAGTGGGGCACCCCATTTGCCAACCTAAGACAGAAAGCTGCCATAATTAAACAAGTCAGAAAAATGGATGATACTAAATGCACAGACTTTGGTTGTTTCAATCATTTCGTCCTACAGGTTTTTACTTGAAGTGAGAATACCATCAGTGAGAAAATCACAGCCATGCTGAATTCATTACTGCAGTAGTCACACAAAACCATGGATAAAATTTCAATAACTGCAGGCCACAGTTGAGTAAACAGTTGCACTGAAACTTAATTCCTGTTGACTTTTCCCTCATTCTTTGCCAGGGGCACATTCTGATTCGTAGTGCAAAGACAACAGGGGTTACAGCTTTGATTAATATAGGACAGTAGAAGAGGAGTAAAATATGTTCCACACAAAGGTCTCATCTTAAAAAAGGCTTAGTATCAAAATGAGTTAATTACACTGTGTTTTCCATAGGAGCACTATGGAATTTTCCAGTGAGGCTTTGTGCAGAGAGAAACAGGGAGGGGGGATCATGCAGACGTGCACACGGTGGACCAGAATGGCTGAGACCTCTGCTCCTCCACCATGAACTGACCCTGTGCCAGGGCTTCTCCACAGCCATCCCAAGGCTTGTAGCTATCCCAAGAGCTCAGGATGTCTCAGATAATGTTGTCACCTCACATGTAATGGCTGGTGTCATTCAGCCGCCCATTCGGTCAGTTAAGGAGTGGCACCCATTCATTCCCAGTCCTCCAGCCCTCCCCAAACAGTGCTCGGCACAGACCCGAGTGCTCAGGGCTGGGGATGGGATTGCCAGGCTTGGGATTGCTTTCACACAGCTCTGATTTTAGCTTGGAGTTTATTTATCCTCTGCCAGTACAGAGAATGTGGTTGGGGATCTTGCTTTTCTCCAAGTTCTTCAAAGACCTTTATGTTCTGTGTTTGAATTCTGCTGTTAATTGGTTTTGATGACTAACTTCTCCATGGAGTTTATCTTTTATAAAGCAAGTTGATTGCAAAGTTTAAAACAGTTATTAAATAAAAAAGCGACCAACAAACCCAGTCCTGATAACAATAAGAGGCTAATCGGAGCTAGCATAAAAATATCAACCTTGGTGTTTGGAAAACATTTTTAAATGCTGAAAAGAAGAAAACCCCGTTGTTTTCAGACAGCTAATGCAAGCATTTACAGATACACATACAACATGGAGCATAATGTTTAGATGTTTCTCCGTATACAACATATGCTCTCAGGTCACTTAACAGAATGCATTCTACAAAACACTCCTTCAATACAAATGAATGAGTTCTGAATTAAACAGCTATTTCTTAAGAGCATTTCATTCAAATCTTTTCATTTTGCCACCTGGCACTTGTTTTGTCTGAAAAAAATAAAAAAAAAATCAGTGGTGGGTAGTTTGAGCTTTGCTGCTGTGGTTGGTTGTGTGTTCCCATGATGAGCGTGGCAGAACAGTGAAACCTGCATGTACAATGGCTCGTGAAAGCAACTGTGCTGAATTTAGGGTCACATTTTTGGTGACATTTATGAATTTATTAGGACTAATAGCTTTGTTAGTATGAGAGAGGAAAACAGAAATACTTGAGGGTTTTTTTAGGAAGTTTTAATGGGTTTGCAGACTTGTAAACATTTTACCATGGAAAAATATGGAGCACCACAGCTGTTCATATGTTTGCAGGAGAAGTGTAGGGTGTGATCACTCTTGCTGTGAGTACAGGGAGGACTTGTAGGACAAGTTTTATGCTTCCCATGTCATGTTAGGGTGATTCTGCCATGCAAGGAGACAGAGAGTGATGTGATGCTCAATTATTTTAGCATTAGCAATCTCATAAAACGTACTGTTAAGCTGGGAGTAGCAAATGTGGGGATGAGTTCTGCTATTTATAATAAAGCCAAGTAATTCCAACTGATGTTTATGTTGGTGAAGTAAGAAAGGCAAAGCAATACAAGTGACTCTTCAGGGATGGCATGTATGTGGAAGAGTTGGGTAAAAGTGGAAATGCATATAGATGTCACCCTCAGAACCAAAGTATAAGGGAAAGAGAACTTTTTCTCACAGTATTTTGGCACCTGCTGGGGGTGGCAGAGGTGGCCTTCCCTCTGCTGCTGACTCCACAGGTGCCAGAGGTCAGCATCTCGTGGCAATAATTGCCAGGATGTGGTGGAATGGGCAGGGGTTTGGTGACCTGCTTATCAAGTCTGGGGCAGCCATGAAGGTTACCTGGATCATTGTACTTCCTAAAGAGATGAAGCAGGGATTTGGTGTGGGGTCAGGTAGTGGGGCTCAGGAGCTTTGTCCCAGAGTGCCCACGGAGGCAGCGCCAAGCGACAGAACAGAAAACCTGGGAACAGAGTACCAGGCAGAGTCTGGCAGCATCTGTTGGCTCTGAGGCATCATGAAAAACATTTGGGAGGTGCAGAATGGGTGTTGGAGTGACCCACAAGCTGAAGGTCAGTAGGGACAAACTGCCTTTTAATGTTCATGATCACAGCTGTAGTTGCTTCAGTGGTTTCTGACATCTCCTCAAATAGAAGGTTTGATGCCTCAGTTCTTTTTTTTTTTTTTTTAAAGCTTATAAAATAAATATTATTTATTGCATTTTATTTTTATCCTCAGGACTATTCATTAAAGTGTTCTTCACGTTATTAGCAGTGAAACAAGACTATGAATTGAACAAAGAGAATGATTACAAAGTTGAATCCTGATGCATAGCAGCAAGACACCAAGTGCTGTGTTGCATGGTGGCAGAAATACAAACCTCTCCACATCAATAGCCGGATCCACTTTGATACCGTAACTTCAAGTACTGCCCCACGAGTATAAAACTCAGTATCTTTGTCTAATCCAGAAAGCTTTTGAACTTTGAGGAGGTATGACTTTAATAGTAATTTGTTGACAGATTAGCTGCAGAGATTGCAAAGGGTTTATTTTGCAGAACTGGCAGGCTCCTATCAGTGTTCTCTTAAGGAAAAAAACACACACTGCTGTTTTGCAATTGCTTGCATTTATTGACAAGCTGCGCTGAGCAGGCAGAATTGGAATGTTTGGATAATGTAAACCTATAGCTTGTCTGATGGAGTGTAGTGTACTTTTAGGTAGTGCATAGATTGCTTGATAAAAAGGGTTACAAGGTGGCCGTGTTTATGACAAACTGGAATAGAAATACAAACGCAACTGGTATGTGGAGAAAGAAGGAGGAGGTTTATGTAAAGAACTGTGGGGAAGTTTCTTTTCTTCACTTTGTCTGTGAGCTGTACTATACTGTAATTATGAAGTGTCACTTCAAGCTTTCTGAAGAATTTAGATAAATACTAGTTTTGCCATGTGTCCACCAAGTAAGGAAAGAAGGGGGTTTTCCTGTTATATCCTGTTTTGTGCTTTTATTCCAGTAAATATCTGCAAGTGAAAAATACAGTTTTGTTCATGTGTAAAAGAAGGCCTGATAGACAAAAGAAATTTGGACTAGATTCTGGTCTGTGCCCTGCAGTTGGGCTGTTTGTGGTGTCTGTGTGAAGATGCCAGAGTTGGGCCCTTTGGCAGAGGTTGTTTCATGAAATGTTGAGATGTGAAGGGTTAGATTGAAGGAATCAAACTCCAGAGGGAATATGTGGGTTCTTCAGATTTCGTTCATGTTCAAAGACAAGGAAAATGTACAAGAAATGGGGGATTTGGTGTATTGTTGAGAGGCTGTTTTAACTGGGCAGATCAAAAACAAAATTTGACTAAAAAGAAAACTGAATTTGCAGTGTAAATTAAAGAAATGCCTTTTTTTTTTTTTTTTTTTTTAATTGGTGAGTTTCAGGTTATTTTGCAAACCTGTGAGGAGAGGTTACAGACCACATCAGGAGTTTAACAGTCCCATTGATCATGATGTGGACTTCTCTCTGTAGAGCAAAACTGCTAAATTAGATCCAAGATAAAGTCTTTGTTTCATATTGACATAACTGGGTTAGACCAAAATTGTTTGTTAGACTTAGAAGGGAGCGTCCGTGTTGAGTCATTTTGTCCAAAGAGACAGAAAGCCTAATTATTAAACTGCTGTTGCTATTGAAGGAGCCATTTGAAAGTATAGATTAAGCTCCATGCAGGCTATTGGATTGTGTCTGA